ATTATACAACCATTGTTTCAGTTATAACAAATTCTAACCCATTTTTGTCTATTTATAAAGATACTTGACAAATTATGTATCAAACTATATTGATTATATTAAATCAATATCTTTAAAAGAATAAAATTAAATTTATCATGGAAAAATATATCTATCTGAGTGCATAATCTATTTTGGATTTAGCCGACACATAACTTTCATTTTCACAATAGGATATTAAAATTGGTGGGAAAAGTAGCACTAATATATATCAAATTAATAATGATGTTAGGGATATTAAAACAATCGTTTACCACAGTTATATACAACTCGTTATTTGTTATATGATAAAAAATCATTTAATCGTAGTTACATACTAATGCGTATCAAACTTGAATACACAATAGCTTATTTGTTATTTGTTATTCACTAAACCGCACCAAAACCGCCCGCACCAAACCAAACCGCACCGCACCACATAATGCGGTTTAGAACCTTAACGGTGCGGTTTGCGGTTTCCAAAAATCTCAAACCGCACATGCGGTGCGGTTTGCGGTTTGACTCTAAACCGCACCAAACCGCACCGCGCACACCCCTAATTTAGATATATATATATATATATATATATATATATATATATATATATATATATATATAATTAACTCATGTAATATATGGATCACACGATTAGTTTTACATCATATAACAATTTCAATATATTATCCTCATTTTTTTTAAATATATAACAAATTGTAAAATAAATTACACCACTAAAAAGAGATAGTCCTTTAAAACAAGACTAAGGGGGTGTTTGGCAAGATCTGAATTTTTAAGATCTGAATTTTTAAGAGATCTGAATTTCTAAGAGGGTCTGAAACTTTAAGATCTGAATTTTTAATATGTTGTTTGGTTGGAACCTCTGAATTGTTGCGCTGAATTATAAAATGACCATTTACCCTTCAATGTTATTTTTTTGTTGAATTCAATGTTTATGTTTATAAAATAACCAAACCAACTTCTTAAACAATTATAACAAAAGTATAAACACAATACAAAATCCAAATTAAAAAAAATCAAATCAAACATAAATATTTGACAAAAATCAAATCAAACAATGCTCTAATATAAAGAGGTAAAAGTATGATGCTATAATAAATAAATCAATAAAAGTACATTGCTATTTCTTGTATTTAACCTTTATAAAAACAATCTTACAATAGCTATGAAAACAAACTGAACTCTATGCTTATATGGATCACATTACATGTATACAACCTCATTCATTTACACATCTTGATAAGTACAATACCCTTATCTAAGAGAACACAAATAGAAACTTTGAATAAATCAGAAAATTGAAACCATTCCATTCATTCTTTGTGTTCTAAATCAGTGATATGTGGTTAGCTACTAGTGATTGTCCGGAACATTTCTTGTCCAACAGTATCCCACTGCATAAACATGGAACATTCAACATTAATTTCATACAAATACAATCTTATATATCTTTTCAGAAGAGACATAAAAGGAACATTCAACATTAGTTTCATCCAAAGTTCCAATTGCTCAAGGTCAAACATCAATGCCTAAAGTTCAAATTGCTCAAATGAGAGATAGAAAAGAGCGATTTTGACAAAAAAAAATCATAGCCTTCATCCACCATCATCTTGACCATAAAAAATCACACAATGCTCTAAAACAATAACCAATTTGGAAACTATACATCAGTTTATAATAATAACAATCATTATTATACCAGGAAACTATAAATCAATAACTAATTTTAAATGAAGCTATGTTTCACCACCGATTCAAAACATCATAGAAAACCTAAAATATGAACATTTAAAAACTCTGAATATTAAATCAAATTTTGATTTCACATCATGAAAACAATTCGATTTCACGAATGTGAAGTGATTTTATAAACCTTGTACCTGACCAATGAAGGAGATCGGAGATCGCCTGGTGGAGACCGACATTGTCGAGGGCGGAACCAGTGCTGGAGAGGGCGGTGTTTTCGAGGGTGCAACCAACGATGTCGAAGCTTGGCGTCGGAGGTTGTAGTTTGGCGATGGGAGTGGATTTCATGGAGGTGGGAGTAATATCAGAAGTCGTGTGAAACTTGTAGGTGTTGTGCGAGTCGACGATGGGAAGAGGTGGCCGACAATGGGATGAGGTGTTCGGTGATGGGAGGAAGGTGGTTGGCGTTGGAGTTGGTCGGAGGTGGGAGGAGACAAGAGAGGATCTAATGAAGGTGGGTTATGGAAGCGTTCATATGAGGGCAATACATGGAAGGACGCACATTTTTTTTTATTCAGATATAAGTTTAGGTCTGAAAGTTTAAGAGGATTTTAAGAAATTAAGAGTCTGTTATGCACAGGCTACCAAACGCTCTACATCTGAAATATTAAGAGGTTGCCTCTTAATTTCTCAATTAAGAGGTTACCAAACAGCCCCTAATATTGAATATAAAAAAGCTATTAAAATGATAATGTCATTATAGAAAACTACTAAATGGTTTATACGAAAAACATTGTGTAGCCTTTATAAAGGATATTTTTTGCTTTTGTTTTATGGTATAGTATAAAAATATATGTTTAATAAATAAATAAGGTGGTGAGAGTCAATTTATAAGTATGTCCGTTGCTTTCCGTTACCACCACAACATTCTATAACGCTCGTTTTTTTTTTTTCTAAAAATGTCGGCGAGCGTTGCGCACACCGATCAGTCTAAACGTTTAAGATGCTGGATAATAAAAAATATGTTTATAAAATATATAAGATTTTAAATGATAGTGATCTCACATGGAAAATGACGATATAAATGTATTTTAGACTTTTAAATGATATCAACAGTAAAAATCAAGGTTCTAAATAGCGTAAGGCGTGACTTGGCGGCAATGTCAAGCCTCAAGCTTTTCCGAGCCTTGGCGAGCCACGTCGTTTGTAACACGTGACTTAAGGCGACAACTTTGTATATAATTAATATTTTTATATGTATTTTCAACTATTATTCTATTTTATACACATATATGAGTTAAGGCGGCGTTTTGGTAAAGCTTGGCGGCAGGTACAAGCCTTGGAGCCATGACGAGCTTTTTAGAACCTTGGTAAAAATGCTCTAATCTACCGACTTCTAATAAAGTACATTGAGATTTGGATAAAAAAAAATCTAATCTACCGAATTCTAATAAAGTACATTGAGATTTGGATAAAAAAAAATTTCTAATCTACCAAATTCTAATAAAGTACATTAGATAGGATAAAAAAAATTACATGCACACAATAATGTTGTATTTTACGTCAATTAGAACAACATGATTTAAATCCATCAACGTTTCGAATAAATATATATTAAATTTATAATTAAATTTAACTGGTTTTATAATTAAAATAAAAAAAAAATAATTGTGAACAGAAAATTTGTAGAATATTAATGGTGAATCTAAAACCAAAAACCATGTGGTTCATTATGTAAGTAAAACCGAAAAATAAGAGTAAGGTGCCGTTTGTTTTTTCGAAGCGAAAATACGTGAAGTCTGCAGACCACATCTGCAACCATCTGTAGCAGAAGAGGGGGACCAAACGGCTGCAAAATATAATAAAAAGTTTGTTTGTTTTTTAACCTCTGCAGACTGCTGCAATAAGTTAAAGTAATGTGTGAAGAAGTTTGAAGCAGATGGTGAGGTGCTACGCCACGCAACACACGCGCAGTAGTTTTTAAGTCAGAAGTCTTCTGAAAAACAAACAGTTGTGAAGGGGCCAAGTGCTGCACGTGTGCTGCGTGGCGCAACAATAAGTGGTCAAAGTGGTTTTTTAGAAAAAACAAACAACACCTGAATAATACTAGTGGCAGACTAGTGTCTGACGGAGGGGCGGTGTTGGGCCAACAGCGATGGTCGGACGACGAACGACAGAGGACGGAACTGGTGGTTGGGTGGGAGTGATCATCAGGACGACATTGTATGATGCTTCAGGGATGTTGATCATTGCCTCAACCCAAGCGACGTTTCATATTTCAAGCATTTTTGCTATTTTATCAAATTTTTGTTTAATTTTAAATGGACAAGACTATTGTCTAATTATTACATTGTAAATGGATCGAAACATTAAGCTATTTTAAATATAAAATATAAGGTTTATACACTTTGATCCATTTTCTTTTTCTCAAATTTTATAAGGTAGGTCTTTGAAAAATTATAAAGTAATTCCCTTTTTTTTATGCACAACTTATACTATTTATTTATTTATTTATTTATTATTATTTTTTTAAAAAGGCGGATCCTAGGATACACCTTCACAAAGCATAGATACGCCCCTGCAGAATATATTGATATGATATGTAAAATTATGGTGTCAATTTGCGATGACCCGTGACATGTCAAATAGTTTGGGTTGATTTTTTTTGATATGTCAACACGCAACCCACCAACCCATTTATTATAAGGGTCGTGTTTGTGTTTGCAAATAATTTCATTAGTTGACCTGTAAATCCATTAATTTTATTAGATGATAAAAATAAAAAAATATATTTATTAAATAAATATAAGAGTAAAAACTAATAAGTAAATTTGAGATATTTAGATTTCTTTTCCGTGACACACAAACTCGAATCTAACCTACAAACTCGATTATGATGACATAAATATTTCTATCGGTCGTGTCTTGATTTAACTTTCTAATCCATCAACTCTCGATCCGCTAATCTGAACATGACATGATTATTTAAAATGGTAAGATATATTATATAAAATAAATTAAAATTAAGTAAAATAATAAATTATAAAAAGAATGTACAAATAGAATGAAATCCAACATAAAATGCATGGATACTATTTTTCGTGTAGCATTTTAATTTAATGGGCCATTCTGGGCAATAAAAGCAAAGCCAATTTAATATATGGGCCAAGTATGATACCAGATTTATGTATCCGGAAAGGCCCAAATGCGAAAGATCTTTCTAGAAGCTGATTTCGGGACACACATGTTTATGAACGACCACTTCGCATTTCTTAATATTCTGAAAAATTCCTCAAAAACCCCTCGCTCTCGGCCCCCATCTGTCTACCAGTCCACCCCAGAGGCTTTACGAAAGCATTTGGAGAATTCCAGAAGGTTTTTCTTCTCTCACGCTGCTGCCCTACTTGATCTCCGTCTTCCCGAGGTGCGATCTCTTTTTTCTCTACTTTATCAGATCCGATTTCATTACCATTATATTGTTAGATTCAATCTAAGTATGCTGTTAGTTGTGTTTGATTTACTTTTTGATCTGATTAAGACGATTTCATCCATTTTCAAATCGTACATAGTGAGCAGGTTTTTGTGGTTAATTATTAGTGTAGAGTACAAACAAAGATCCACTTTCGTTTCTAAATTGGTGGATGTTGTCGTTGTATCTGATGTATTGCTTAGGGCTATTGACTGAATCAGGCCAATGTTGATTGTGTATAAGGCGTCGTATTAGTTTCTTAGAACTGAAAGAGTTACTATTCCTTGTTTGTACAAATACTATTTCAAAGCAGTTTGATTTTCATTTAGGATCAACCATAAAAAATTGTCCGGATTCTGATATGAATGTGCGGTTACATTTCTAAAAGGTACACTTGCAGCAAAGATGAGCGTGGTTGGATTTGATCTTGGGAACGAGAGTTGTGTTGTGGCAGTTGCCAGACAAAGGGGAATTGATGTTGTTCTTAATGATGAGTCAAAACGTGAGACTCCTGCTCTTGTGTGTTTTGGTGAAAAACAACGTTTCTTAGGGACAGCTGGCGCTGCAACCAGTATGATGAACCCAAAGAACACCATCTCCCAGATTAAGCGGCTGATAGGGCGTCCATTTTCTGATCCTGAATTGCAACAAGATCTCAAGGCTTTGCCCTTTTCTGTAACAGAAGGACCCGATGGTTTTCCATTGATCAATGCAAGGTATCTTGGTGAAACGAAGTCATTCACCCCAACACAAGTTATGGGAATGGTTTTCTCAAACATGAAGACAATAGCTGAGAAGAACTTGAATGCAGCAGTTGTGGATTGCTGCATTGGGGTACCTATTTACTTCACTGATCTTCAAAGAAGAGCTGTAATGGATGCAGCAACTATAGCCGGTTTGCATCCTCTACGGTTGATGCATGAGACAACAGCCACTGCTTTAGCTTATGGAATATACAAAACTGACTTACCTGAAAATGAGCAGCTCAATGTAGCCTTCATTGACATTGGACATGCTAGCATGCAGGTATGCATAGCAGGTTTCAAGAAAGGTCAACTGAAGGTATTGGCACATTCATTTGACCGGTGTCTTGGAGGGAGGGATTTTGATGAGGTTTTATTCCAACATTTTGCTGAAAAGTTCAAGACAGACTACAAAATTGATGTTTTCCAGAATGCAAGGGCTTGCCTTAGACTCCGTGCTGCTTGTGAGAAGCTAAAGAAGGTGCTTAGTGCAAATCCAGAGGCACCTATGAACATAGAGTGCTTGATGGATGACAAGGATGTTAGAGGGTTTATTAAAAGAGATGAATTTGAACAAATCAGCGCCCCAATATTCGAACGTGTGAAGAAGCCTTTAGAGAAGGCTCTTTCAGAGGCTAAACTCACAGTTGATAATATTTATGCTGTGGAGGTTGTTGGGTCGGGTTCAAGGGTGCCAGCTGTCATCAAGATTCTGACAGAATTCTTTGGGAAGGAGCCGAGGCGTACTATGAACGCGAGTGAATGTGTCTCTAAAGGTTGTGCTTTGGAATGTGCTATTCTCAGTCCTACATTTAAAGTTAAAGAATTCCAGGTATGATCTACATGACCCAACTTTTGTCTTAACTTGTACTGTATTAAACCCTAATTTGGATTTTGTTTATTTGGTGTGAAGGTCCAAGAAAGCTTCCCTTTTTCAATTGCATTGACATGGCAAGGTTCTTCCCAAGAATCTCAGAATGGAAATGTGGAGAATCAACAAAGCACAATTGTTTTCCCCAAGGGAAATCCAATTCCAAGTGTGAAAGCTTTGACTTTTTACAGGGCTGGCACGTTCACAGTAGATGTGCAGTATGCTGATGTCAGCGAATTGCAGGCACCAGCAAAGATCAGTACCTATACGGTAAACATTGCTCACAAATTCAAATAGTTTAATAGAATTGTTATTCTGATTGCTTTTTAACTTTTAAATTTGAAAATGGTGTCCAGATTGGTCCCTTCCAAGCAACAAAAGGTGAACGTGCCAAGGTGAAGGTGAAAGCCCGTTTGAATTTGCATGGAATTGTGTCTGTGGAGTCTGCACAGGTGGGTTATTAATCAAATCTTGATAACTAGTGTGTAGAATAGATTGTATTTTTAACTTTTTTATGTGATTCCAGCTTATTGAAGAAGATGAGGTTGATGTTCCAGTGACAAAAGAAGCAACAAAGATGGATACAGATAAGGCTCCAGCTGATGTGGCATCTGGTAACGAAACAGATGTAAATATGCAGGATGCCAATGTGGCTGAAAATGGTGCTACAGAAACTGGAGATGTTCCTGTTCAGATGGAGACTGATACTAAGGTTGGTATAATATAATAGAACATGTGTGGGTTTAAAGTTTTGAAGTATAGATATAGTAAGATTTGTTATTTTGCAATGATACAGGTGGAGGCTCCAAAGAAGAAGGTCAAAAAGTCAAACATACCCGTTTCAGAGGTTGTTTATGGAGCAATGCTACCAGCAGATATGCAAAAAGCAGTGGAAAAAGAATTTGAAATGGCATTACAGGACCGAGTCATGGAAGAAACCAAGGACAAAAAGAATGCTGTGGAATCCTATGTTTATGAAATGAGGAACAAGGTATTTAATTAATTACCATTAGTTTATTTTGTAGACATCCTTAATCTTAACAACTCTTTTTATTTTTTTTCTTCCCAGCTATATGATAAACTGCAAGAATTTGTGACGGATTCAGATAGGGAAGCATTAATTGGTAAGCTTCAAGAAACCGAAGATTGGTTGTATGAAGATGGTGAAGACGAAACTAAAGGCGTGTATGTTGCCAAACTTGAAGAACTCAAAAAGGTTTTCTTTTCACATTTTTTTTTTCTTATGTATCTATCTTTTTCCGATATTTAACATGCAGAAATAATTTCAGATAGGTGATCCCATTGAACAACGTTACAAGGAGCACACAGAAAGAGGATCTTTTGTAGACCATCTGGTCAGTGTTATTACTTCTTACAGACAGGCTGCAGCATCCGGTGATCCAAAATATGAACACATTGACTTGAATGACAAACAAAAGGTTATAATCGTAAAATCCCTATTTCTCTATAACATAATTTTTTATTTTAATTCTGATTTATGTGTATGTATGTACATGTAGGTGTTGAATGAATGCTCAGAAGCAGAAAACTGGTTGAGAGAGAAGACACAACAGCAGGAGTCACTTCCAAAACATGCTGATCCAGTTCTTCTGTCATCTGATATAAGAAGGAAAGCAGAGGCAATCGACAGGTATAATATATAAGATATTCCGCTTTTTTTTTTTTTTTTTTGTTAAATAAAATATAGAAAACATTGGTTTTAATTTTTATATGTGTCTATAGGGCATGTAGGCCGATAATGTCAAAACCAAAGCCAGCCCCACCAAAGGCAGCCACACCACCAGAGGCACCACCCTCCCCTGCACCTGAGCAGCAGGCTGGTTCAGAGAATGCTGCAAGCCCAAACCCAAAAGCAGCAGACAGCAATGACAATTCTGATGCCATGGAAATGGAGAAGCCTGAGGCTGCTGCATAAGGAAGGCCAAAAGGTTTTTGGTTTTTTCTTGTTTTTTCTTTTATCGATTGTGTGTTTTTATCATGGGACACGAGTACTTGTTTTATTATTTTGATTTGTATAATCATATGAATATATAGATTTTGGTCTATTTTGTTAGATCCATATTATTACAAAATTATTTGCCAGGGTCCTTTTATCTTCATGAGCAGGACTTGTGGTGTTTTCGGATGCATTTGTGATAGATATATACTTATCGTGCTAAAATGATATAATATGATTGATTCAGGGGTTATACAAGTTTTGCAACTCTACACATAAATACATTATTGTCACTTGAAGAGTCTAATATGCTCCTTCTATGTCTTGCACCTAATGTTTTACTCTCATTTAGTCATAGACATGTATATCTGCACCTATTTCTTTGCTCTAATACCAATTCATACTAATGAATTTTTTGTCTTACGAGATACCATATCATATTTTTGTACGTCAACGTAGTACCAATTATCTTGAGTTGGTTTATATACATATATCTTGAGATACAAAAAATTGGCTTTACCTATGCATATTTGTGATAAATCCATAAAAAATTATTTGTATGTAAACCAACTCAAGATAATCTTGAGACTATTAAGTAATTTTACAATACAAACTATCATCGAGTGATACTAAACTAATACATAATCTCCCTCTAATATCATAACATAATCATACCACTCAGGAGATATTTATTTTACGTTCATGAATTCTATTCAAAGAGATCTTGTGTGAGTACTACATTCTTTAGATCTTTATATCCAATTCTAATCATAAACTTGTGTACATGTTAAGAAAATAGTTTAACGCAAAAGTTACCTTGTGAGATACATAGGTTTTTTTATACAATATGTACATACAAAAACAGTTTCCAAAACATTTACTTATTTTCATTTCATGTGTGTATGTTATGTTATGTAATGCATGAAACAAGCATAATCATAATCTCATATATATAATCATAATCTCATCGTTCCTTTTTCACATGATGGTCAAATCACCCACCACGGTGTATATCATAATAGGAAGAACTAATCAACCTATTAAGATATTTCATTAATACATCTATTTTATTAATAGAGGTATCATCCTAGTAGTATAGTCTTCTATACGCCTCATCAAATCTATGTCTTGATGGCCTTCATATTTTTTGTATGCAATTCACATTTCCATTAACAAGCACCATGTCCATTCCATCATTTTGTTCACATGTATGCAATACCATGATTCAACATTTAACA